GCAATTGATTTTACGCACCTGAGGGAGTAAAATCCACGTTCCTGGAGAAAGGTTTGCTCCTGCTCTGCTCGGCCTCTTTGGGAATTCCAGGATCTCTGGGAATTCCAGGATCTTTGGGAATTCCAGGATCTTTAGAAATTCCACATTTTTTAAAAATTCCAGGATCTCTGGACATTCCAGGACCTTTAGAAATTCCGGGATCTTTAAAAATTCCAGGATCTCTGGACATTCCAGGACCTTTAGAAATTCCGGGATCTTTAAAAATTCCAGGATCTTTAGAAATACCACAATTTTTAGAAATCCCATGATTTTTAGAAATTCCAGACTCCTTGGTCATTCCAAACTCCTTGGACATTCCAGGGTCTTTAGAAATTCCAGAATCTTTTGGAATTCCAAACTCCCTGGACATTCCAGGATCCTTCGAAATTCCAGAATCCTTAGAAATTCCCAGCTCCTTGGTCATTCCAGGTTCCTTGGACATTCCAGAATCCTTGGAAATCCCAGAATCCTTGAACATTCCAGGTTCCTTGGAAATTCCCGTCTCCTTAGCAATCCCAGAATCCTTTGGAGCTCCAGAATCATTAGAAACCCCAGAATCCCTCATGATTCCAGAATCCTTAGAAATTCCTGGTTCCTTTGCAATCCCAGAATCTTTTGCAACCCTAGAGTCCTTCGCAATCCCAGAATCCTTTGCACTCCCAAAATCCTTCAATATCCCAGGATCCTTTGCACTCCCAGGATCCCTCGCACTCCCAGAATCCTTTGCACTCCCAGGATCCCTCGTGCTCCCAGAATCCTTTGCGCTCGCAGGATCCCTCCCACTCCCAGAATCCTTTGCGCTCCCAGCATCCTTTGCGCTCCCAGAATCCTTTGCGCTCGCAGGATCCCTCGCAATCCAAGAATCCCTGGCACTCCCAGGATCCTTTGCACTCACAGGATCCCTCGTGCTCCCAGAATCCCTCGTGCTCCCAAAATCCTTTGCGCTCGCAGGATCCTTTGCACTCCCAGAATCCTTTGCGTTCCCAGGATCCCTCGTGCTCCCAGAATCCCTCGTGCTCCCAGAATCCTTTGCGCTTGCAGGATCTCTCGCACTCGCAGAATCCCTGGCGCTCCCAGAATCCTTTGCGCTCCCAGAATCCTTTGCACTCCCAGAATCCTTTGCGCTGCCCGGCTCTCTCCCGTCGTGCAGCGCGGTTGGTTCAGGCTGAGCCAGGCTCGGGGGCAGCTCCTGACAATCCCTGGGTTTGTACAGCTTGTTCTCACACACCTGGAAAGAAACACATTACTATTATTATTATTATTATTATTATTATTATTGTCATTATTATTATTGTCATTATTATTCTTGTCATGCACAGGTTTGGGGCTTTTCACACAGTGGCCATGCCAGCAAATCCCACTCAAAATAATAACAATCACAATAATAATGATAATGATGATGATGATGATAATAATAATAATAATAATAATTAATAATCTGTCTGACCTTGTTCCCGCAGTGGCTGCAGCTCCTCCGTTTGTTTTTCTTCAGGCGGAGCTCAGCGCTGCTGCTGCTGCCCTCGGGACAGGAACAGGGACAGGAACCATCCCTGACAGCCTCGGGCCACTCCACATCCTGAAAAGATGGAAAATAATGAGAAAAATATAGAAAATAATCCTAAAAATAAAAAAAATCCTGAAAAAACCACAAAAAATCCAGAGAAAATCCTGACAAAATAGAGAAAATGGTGACAGGAACAGGGATAGGAACCAATTTCCTCAGGATTTCCCAAATTTTTTGGGATTTTTTTTAGGATTTCCCGTATTTTTTAGG